TTCTTGGATACAACTTTTGTTTTTTCAATAGGAAGAGGGCCATGTGACACATCAAACTTATTGGTAATGTCACAAGAAAAACAATGGTGTGCTTGGTTTCAGCGTAACTTTATTCTTTCATGAGTTATTTACAAGTTTCTGACCACTTATAAAATGTGTTCAATGTGCTGTCCATTGTGTTGGGTTGTCAATGCAACCCTCTTCTCCCACTCTTCACACAGTGATATCAACACCGCAGCAGAAATGCCAGCACAGGCATCCAGTATCTGTAGTTTCAGGTGCTGCACATCTCGTATCTTCACACCATAGACAATTGCCTTCAGATGACCCCAAAGATAAAAGTCTAAGGGGGTCAGATCGGGAGACCTTGGGGGCCATTCAACTGGCCCACGACGACCAATCCACTTTCCAGGAAACTGTTCATCTAGGAATGCTCGGACCTGGCACACATAATGTGGTGGTGCACCATCTTGCTGGAAAAACTCAGGGAACGTGCTAGCTTCAGTGCATAAAGAGGGAAACACATCATCATGTAGCAATTTCAAATATCCAGTGGCCTTGAGGTTTCCATTGATGAAGAATGGACCCACTATCGTTGTACCCCATTGGAGGGATCCATCCAATGTGGGTTAGTGTCAGACCAATAGCGGTGGTTTTGTTTGTTAACTTCACCATTCACATAAAAGTTTACCTCATCACTGAACAAAATCTTCTGTGTGAACTGAGGGTCCTGTTCCAGTTTTTTTTTTGCCCATTCTGCAAATTCTGTGCGCCGATCTGGGTCATCCTCGTTGAGATGCTGCAGTAGCTGGAGTTTGTAAGGGTGCCATTTGTGAGTAGCTAATATCCACCGAAGGGATGTTCGATTAATGCCACTCTCCAGTGACATGTGGCGAGTGCTATGCTGTGGGCTCTTGCTGAATGAAGCTAGGACAGCCACTGATGTTTCTTCATTAGTGACAGTTTTCTTGCGTCCACATTTTGGCAAATCGAACACTGAACCAGTTTCACGAAACTTAGCAAGCAGTTTGCTAACTGTAGCATGGGAGATGGGTGGTCTCGTAGGGTGTCTTGCATTGAAATCTGCTGCAATGACCCGGTTACTGCGTTCACCAGATATCAACACAATTTCGATCCGCTCCTCACGTGTTAACCTCTTTGACATTTCAATGGCTGTGAACAAAGAGAAACTTGTAAATAATTCCTGAAAGAATAAAGTTACGTTGAAACCAAGCACACCATTGTTTTTCTTGTGACATTACCAATAAGTTTGATGTGTCACATGGCCCTCTTCCTATTGAAAAAACAAAAGTTGTATCCAAGATGGCCGACTTCTAAATGGCCACCATGGTCACCACCCATCTTGAGGAGTTTGCCCCCTCACATATACTAATGTGCCACAAACAGGACTTAAGTATCACCAACCATTCCCATGTTATTACGGTGTATCCATATAAATGGACCACCCTGTACATCAAACATTGCATTTACAAAGCTTTTTGGAGATAAAATGTTTGTATAATTCCTGATGTCTACTAATTATATCAAAAACTTTCCTAAAGTATATATATTAATGTTTTTGGACCTGTCAGCATTACAAAGAGTGTAGACATGCACTGAAAGATATGCACATTTTTTAAAAAGTGTTTAAAAAGTGTCCACAATAAAATGTGTTTACAGCCCTCAGCTGCTCAGTTCAAGCAGCAACTTCTAGTCCCCTGAAAGAGTAAATACTGTGCATACCTGCGCCTGATGTGTGATTGTTGTTATGGGTGATTCAAGTGTTCTTTGAACCCTACTCCTACTCATTTTCCTGTCACTCTGTTTGAGCTACACCAAAAGAAAAATCCAAACCTGAAACCCTGGTGAAAGCTAGAGAAAGGGCAAGATTGTCAGGCATGGAGTAAGGCGCAGATGCAGAGAACCATAAAGAAAACGTCCTTGTGAAGACCCCCCCCCCTTAAAAATGTTGTTTTGGAACCGCACTGTGCCATTTGACACATCAGAGACACATCAGAGACTGCACGATTGATCATTTGTCGTTTATTTACCCCCTGTTCATCCTACCTGAATAGCAGAGTGGAGCCAGAAATAAATGGAGAAAGTTCACTCTTTTCAGAGATGCCAGGCAGGAACAAAAAGCTGCAAATAATTCAGTTTAAGAAAGAGGGGGGAAAAAAATCTCATCTGACTAGTTGACAGACAGCGCTCACCTGTCCTCAAAAGACAGCAGGCCTCCTCGACATTTGTATGAGGTACTCAGCAGTATCCCCAGGGGGACACCTAGGCTTTGATACTGCATCAGTTTAGTGTAGTGGTTGTCAGAGGAATACGTGAAAAAGATGAAGAGGCAAGGGCAGAGCTGTAGAGATGGAAGACGCAGACTCAGGTGAGGGGTATGGCGGGGGTGGGAAAGGGAAGGGCAGGGAACAAAAGAGAAGTAACAGAGGTGGGAGCCTGGAGAGAGTGACGAAGGTTTGAAGAATAGAAAAAGCACGACAATGTGGGGTTAGACAGATATAGAGGAGGGGGAAGAAAGGCAAAAGAGGGGTGGGATGTTGAACAGTCAGAGAAGAAAGTACGAGGGTGCGATTCAGCCTGACCTTTTCACCGAGCTGTGTTCAGAATGGCTTATGTTGTTCGATATTTTTGTGATGTTTTTTATTTTAGAAAGAAAAGAGAATAAAAAAAAAGTAGGTTTTTCTGGCTGACTTAATGCTTATGGCTGCTCTTTATTTGGTGATTTTCTTTTAGAACCTCCCTCTAAATCTGTGAAAGTGAACATGGGCTCTTGATGATTAAGAGCTTCTTGTTTCTGCTACCATGTCTGCCTTTCCACTGTCTTCCATCCCTCTTCTTTTCTTGTTATGCAGACTGTGAACTCTGAGGTTGTCTGTGTGGTTTTCAGACAAGAGGGTGGTATTTCTCGGCTCACCTTTTGAAAATGTCATAAAGAAGGTGAGATACACAATCCCCCTTTATGCACTTCTGTCAAAATATCACAACCTGGCAGAGAAATGTTAATGCAGGAATTTACTTTATTGAAACAAGTTTGATTATTCTAGTTGCTTTCCGGCGTTCTTTCTCTGTGTGAAATGCGTCAACTCTAGTTTAATAGTTGAAATAGTTTAAGTCTATTTTGCAAACAATCTAGCTCCGTGTAGTCGTGTTAATAGGAACTTTTAAGAGTGAAGACTTGGCGAAATGTCCAAGTCAGAGTCAGCGCCACATTTTTATTGATCAGAGACGTTTGTGACTGTTTGCCAGTGGATTGATGATGGCTTGCATTTTAAAAGGCAAAGAAGTGCATAAACAGAACAAAAGGTTTATCCACGGATCATGTAACCCTTTAGGTTACAAAGTTATGCCCATGAATGCAGTTAGTGTTCCAGTGTGTTTTGTGGTTAATTGCTTGTGTAATTGCTGTTGTCTGAAAAGTAAATTGTTAACCTCAGGTAAGTGCTAATCCCAAAATGAGAATGCCGGGGAATTAAAATGTCTGTTTAGAAAATATATCTTTTTTTTCTACCACTCAATAAAAAAGTATTTGAATTACAAACCACATCAGTAGCCCCACAGACATTCAATTACCGTCATGTTTGTGCAGAGCTATCATAAAGTAAACTGATGTGCTTTGTTTTCCCGATGCTTTTCACACACGGCCACAAAATAGAATAAAAACGTCTTGATCTTTGTTCGGAGACTGTTTTCATGTCTGGTGGACCATAGAGAAGTCTGACATCTCGAGCAGGGAAATGTGGCAAACTGGCAAAAGGAGTAAAGCAGACTCCAAGCAATTAATGACTATGTTAGTATAAGAGCCCGAGGTGCATGGATTGAGCTTTAGGAAGGCAAAGAAAGATGCTCCAAGCAGGTCTGGCTCTTTGTAAGAATCCCTTCCAAAAATCTGTCTCCTTTTTTCCTAAATGCTGTGACTTTCAGGTGAGACAAGGAATAGAGGCCACGCACCGGAGACCAAAGACATGCTGGTACAAAGACCTGTTTACTGTTTAATGGAGTGTGTTCCCAAATGGGACAGATAATTACAAGAAGGCTTTGGTTGAACTCCCCCCTGTTGTTTGTGTGTGTTTGAATCCAATCCTGTGCCATCACAACATTGCCTCTTTCGGAGGCTAATAGTTAATAGTCTGGCCTTAAACTGGGACTTTTAACAGCATCTACCTACGGTCAGCTCTGCTGCACGTAACATTCAAACTTTCTTGTGGACGTCCACAAATCTCTTGGTAGTGAAGTGTCCCCCTGACTTCATTATACAGGATGATAAGGTGGACTTTTTGTTTTGTGTGGTAGTTTACTGCCTCACGTTGTTGATTTAAAACCTTCTCTAAAAAGAATTATTGTAGAAATGACTTGTCATTAAAATCGAGTCCTCGGTGGATCCTGTGGGGTAGCTGCTGTGTATTGTGACAGTTGGTTCTGACTGTCACTTTTTTTTGGTTAAATTTTCCTTCTCTTGTTTTTTTCTGTCTTTCTCATTTTCTTTTCATTCTGTGTTTTTTAAAGCCAACTATTTTTTGCAGCAATGGACCATTTTTTTATTCAATGACTCTGAAATAATAAAGATGAAAGATTCAAAATGTTCACATTGGGTTTCAATCAGACTAAAATACTGTGAATAACAGCTTTATGCTATGCAGCAAGGTTGTGTAGAAGGAGTAGTTTACTACGTTGCATCTAATTGCTACAAATTATTGTTTTGCATTCTGCCAAGTTATTGTTCGGACTATGTTTGTGCACTTTAGTTTGTTACACATGGTATCACACAGATTTCAAGGAATTACTGGGGTATTGAGAAGCAGCTGGCATCTTCACTTTACTGTGTAATGGGTCAGCTATATAATTGCTAACCAGCAAAGGCAATGATGAGATTCCACAAGTGGAGAACAGTGGGGAAGACGTGTTTATGATCAAGTTTTCATGCTGACTCATAGACAAAAAAATGTACTATTCTCTTTTTGTTCATCCCTCCTCTCCTCTAGGGAACCCTGCCGTCCAACCAGCCTGCTGCCTGCTGAGTGGAGTGCCGGGTTGGGCACGGGGAAGGAAGATGACCCTTTACCTCTGGGACTGGAAACCCTTCCACTAAGACTCATGCAGCAGGAGTGCACTGCTGTCAAAACCCTGCTTCTAAGGCTGAGACGGACACTGCAGGAGGTGAGATAATGCACATGGCTAACAGTCAGCAGCACATAAGCTCTTCTCGACAAGGACATACAAACAAATGAAGGAAGATTAGCTTTACATTTAGTGAGTCTGGCATATTTGGCTTCTACAGAGCACATAAGGTAGACCACACCGACAGCCCTTATCAAGTTAGAAACGCATCAAATTGTTTTAAACCAGTGAGGATAAGGGTCTAGCAAACAATAAAAAGCAATTTCATCTGGAACCACTGTGCACCACGCTGCTCTTACGAATTTTTCACCCCCTATTTTAATCAGGCTCTATTTCAGTTCCATGAAATCTGGTCAAAGTGGTTGCTTTCCCGTCTCTAAAAGGTCCATTTAATCACTTTGTTTTGTTAATTTAATCAGATTCTACGTTTAGAGGGGGAAACTGGGAGACTTTAAGTATCTGCCAGTTTATGCTTTACATGTACACAAACACACACATATTATCCCTCCTGTTTCAGGCTATAAATCTCCTCTTTAAATGTTTTAGCCTGGTTAAAGCTAACGTTTCACCCCAGGCTATGTGTCTGTCTCAGTGTGAATGTTTGGAACCAACTTAAATTACATCCAAACCATTCTGGACATGATTAGCTGAAACAGTCACTTAGTAAAGCACTGACATGTTGGGATACCTTTACAAGGTCTAACAATATAAACCAGGAAGCCACATTATCTGCCATCCTCTGCACTTACATATCCTCTTTAGATGCCAGACTCCACACGTTTTTGAGGGGTCTCGGGTAATTACAAGATGCAGATGCAAATTTTTGTTTTACATTTTAGTCCAAATCAGGATCCAGAAAGATCATAACACTTTGCTTGAAAATGACAGATGCCTAAATGATTGTTTTCTGAAGTTTTGCGAGCACAGTGTCAGTAGGAGTCATTTGGAAGGGTGTTGATGGTGTTTAATATATATGGTGAATGTTTTGTTTTAGAGTGAAAGTGCTAATATTTTCACTAATACCCTTTGGCAGTGTATAATACATGCCAACATACCAATAAGGGATGTTAGCAATAGCATAAGCTTAGAAAGAACATCCATTAGCTTTGATTGTCTGATGCTTTGGTTTTTTTTTAAATCTACATGGGTGACTGACCCCAACCATATATGGAAGTATTATACAGACCTGTACTCAAAATACAAATACACAAAAAGATAAAAGGGTGACCAGACCTTCCCTAAAACCACACCATTAGTATCTCTAAACTAAGATCAAAGCCTGCTGTGAATTACAGTCCACAGAGGCATATATATGGCTTTCTCCTGATTTCTTTCCTGCTTATATCTCTGTTTTTCTCCCAGGACCTCTGTGAGAGAGACATGAGACATGTAAATGAAATAATAATTTGTAGAGAGAGAGGTAAACTAAAGTGGTGATGGAAAAAAACTAAAGGAGTGCAACAGAGAGAGAGGGTACACAGCAGCAGAACATGAATATGAAAGAGGCGTTTCTTTGCCCTCTTTGCTTGCTCTGTTGTGTCATTAACTTGCAAATTTTGTTACCTTCCAAAAGCAGACATAAACCATTCTGCAACAAGGGGAGGGTGACTCGACATGTCTGTTTTCTTTGCATTTCATTTGCTTGACCTTCTGGTATTGAGCCCCGGTCTTTGGCTTTGTTTAACTTAACTTATAGCCTCTTGCGTTCACCTTTGCCGTTGTACACTTGTGCCTGCTTTTGCAAGCTTTTGCCAATCAATAGCAGGTGCCAACACTTTTCACTGTCAAACACTTTTGTCCACTTCAAACGTCCTATCACTGGGCCGAAGCTCAGCCAAGTAGACAGGGTCATAACTCTGCAGTATGTGGAACCTGGCATGTGAAACTTTGGGATTAGAATTCCTGCTGTCAGTCCTCTGTGTGTGCAAAGGTGCAGGGACTGTAATTTGTTCACTTTTTACTTTATTTATTGGAAATTCAACTTCAAATCAAATCATTATTACATACTGTATTACATGCATTACGTGCATCAAGGTCACATAGAGATTCTTTTATCTAATGTCTAATCTAACCTACATCTGGTGATTGAGAAGACCTCCCCGTTGCTGTGTCACCCCATCAGAGGTTATGAAATCAAAAGACACTTTATGGTGGTGATTGTCCACAGGCTACCCAAAGATTTTGTCTTTCACCTAATTATGCTTATTGACTTGCAAGCTTTCAGTGCAGACCTGTGAATTCTCCCCTCTGAAGTAACACACTAGTTAATCCATTTTGGGGACTTTTGAGGCTCAATAAGAACCCTAAATTGAGCTTAAGTCACCAATGAATTGAAATATAGCTAATCAAAATTCACTTACTTCACTTATGTTAAAAAATTAGTCCCAAATTTTGAGCATTTCATCAGTCTGGGTTGAAAATTATAATTTTTATTTTTCAACTATCCATAGGTTTGTGATTGTTGAAAAGGACTTTGGTCATTATTTTCAGCTGCTTTGAGATACTGAAGCTCAGATGTGTTGTTCCGCACTCATGTTAGAGCGATACTATCATGGGTTTACATCTCTACAGTGTCTTCTTTGAATTGCAAATAAATGGAAAGTTATGGAAATTCACTTATAATGTATTTCAAACCGAAAACCTCAAGTCCCCAAAACCATAGCCTGAAATTCTGGAAAATCTTTACAGTTACTTAACGTTGACCATATAATTCAGATTACTGTGTTTTTGACTTCTGTCTAATTTCCATTGTTTTTTCAAGTGCCACAAAAACATGCAAAACCACTCGATTTAGGTGCTTTCAGAGATTACCTGAGTTGAAATTCTCTGCAGAACTAAACTTATAGATTTATGAACTAAACTTTAATGATTTGAAGGAAAGAGAACTCGCCACGTCTTAACCTTATGTCAAAGTTATGGCAGGTGGAAACAAAACACAGAATTCCCTGTGGTTCAGCTCCCAAGGCTCTAGAGACATCAAACAGATTTGAGTTGGGTTCCCAGGAGACTGGAGACACTATTGCATATCTTCTTCCTTGCCATGCGCGGGTTTTTGCAAGAATAATTTTCCCCCCAAAAAAAGAAGGCTCATCAGTAGGCCTCAGTGGTCCACTGCAGAAACCTTACTGAAGAACCTAGTTGATACATCGCAACAATTCATGGAAGATGGAGGGTGAGATTAACAGAGCAGACTCTCAAAGCCCCAGAGACCGACATATTTAGATATCAACTCCCAAATAGTAAGATCTTTGGAGAGCTTATCAAAAAGCCCAACATTGAAAGTACATTAAAAGATTTGAATGTGAGAGCATCACGTCTCAGAAAAAATAGATTTGCATAATTGAAAGTTTACATTGACACCTAACATTGACCTTTTAATCCAGAATCCAGCCTTGATTTTTGGGACAGCCTAGCTGTGAGCGATCTACACCTTTGAATTCAGGAGCTTGTAAAAGTTATCAAGACACGACTGGGCTGCACACAGCTGTTGTGAGCTTATTTGATGTAAATTGATGCAGTTTCCCATTCTTTATAAACATATAGACTATAATATCTGTAGAACAGGATTAACAACTGTTTTAAAAGAATTTTCTTTTCATCAGTTAGTTAAGAGGAACGTATTTTCCAGTGGGGTTGGATAAAAATTTCTTATGGCACCAAAAATTCAAAAAATTGAGGAAAAACAATTTATATAGCTTCCGATTTCAAATTGAAATGATACAAACGATACTAATAAAAATCAAAATACTAGCACAAGCAGTAAGATTTGATGTCAAAAATAATAACAAAGGATTGTCCTATACAAATAAAAGATGCTTATCATTATGCAGACACAAACAATTTGAACCATGAACACTCCTTTCAGATATTTAGTTTTTTTAACAGTGTTTTCTGTCGGCTGCATGGACGAACATTTGTAAAATGCCACTGTCTGTGTCCAGAAATGTTTCCTATGGTGATCTCCATTTGTCAGTGTCAGCGATGGATTCTAGGAAGACCGTGACTGACTTTATGTTACGGCTTACACTCAGACTGCTTCCTCCACCACGTTGTCAGAATGCGGATATAACAGAATGACATTGAAAATGGTGTTTCTTACAGTTCCGATTGTGCCATCCAAATCTGTTAAAACAGTTTTTGGAAAGAACAGTGTCATTCAGAACCAGCTAATGTGCTCCCATCAGCATTTCCAAAAGTTCTGATGAACTTCTACAAATAAATTTGTGTTGGATTGTACAGATAGGTGTGGAACACAGCAAAGCGGAGTAATTCAATGTCCTCGCTTAATCGCATGAGAGTATTTTAAAGCAATTTCTATAAAAAAAGACGAATGTCTGTCAGAGCGCGAGGTGGTATGAATGCCCCGTGAGTTATTTGAAGGTTTTCATTTCTTGATTTAACTCATGTGTGGATGTGATTAAAGGTGCGCATCAAACTACAAAACCTGCTTTCCTTTCTTAGGCCATTCATCATCTGTAGACATTTAGTTTCAGTGTAGTGCCAGTCATTAAATCCATGGCTCCCCGGCAGCCAATTCCTAAATCTAAGAGCCTTTTTACTGAGCCACGTCTAATTGTGGGGACAGTTGTGTGTTAAGGCCTGTGGGACAGGGGTGACCTTAAAGAGGATGGGTATGTGTTAGAAGGAGACAGAGTGAGAGTGTGTATGTGTGTTTAGGGGGGTGTCACTGAGTACATGCCTGTCTGTCTACATAGGAAAAGGCATTGATCACCAATGACACATTGAGGGCCTGACGCCACAGCACACCTATAACTCTGATAGGAAGGCATGCTTCTTTAAAAGGTCAGCCAAACCAATAAAGCATCAAGTTTATGCTGTGCAAAGATTTGGGCTCAAGTGTTTCTCAGAACCTCCTTCAAAACCAATGAGACAGCTGGAATCTTGTGAGTTTCGCAAGATCACAATCGCAAGGAAATTGATCTTGTCAGGCTTCAAGCTAAGTGTCTGATCCTGAGTTGATCAGACCAAGTCAGCATCCTAGGAGGAAACATTGGCAGCTGTGCCGAGAGACTTGCAGACTACAAGTAACCATAACTTTAATCTAACTTTACCCTAAGATTATCATTAAATGAATTTAACCGCAATCCCAACCTAACCTTGTAACAGTGAAGTGGGCATGTCATGTTTTGTAGTGGCTGTGCTGTGCATCTGCAGGCAGACCAACTTGGCTTTTTAAGTGTGATTGTTTAGGAGATTAGTGTAACCGCTTCTATAGCATGTGTGTTGTCAAAAGTGGAGATTATCTTAATTAAGAGAAGAGCAAAGAATGCAAGCCAAGTGCTTTCTATCTTTCAAAGATCTTTAGAGAGCAGGATGTTGTGTTTCCTCTTTGATGCTCTCTTACTTCCTCATATGATTCAGTAATGTGATCTAAAATGTCATGATAGGGAGACACTCACCAAATCACCTGCCAAGTATGTTTTTTTTTTTTTTAAGTATTTGCCCTTTTTAAAATGAAAGCCACGGACAACATCATCTCAGAATGTTTGTGAAAGAAACCATCTGTCAAATTAGGTTATTTAAAAGCTGAAAGTAGGCTAACACTATGCACATATGATTAAACTTCAGCCTAAAAATCCAATTTTTTATAGACTTACTGTATCTGGTCATTTCGCCTAACAACAGTGGGGTTAGTTGGCATATAAATCTCCTAAAGGGCAAAATATGGCAAGGAATAGACTTCACTGAATATTCAAGTGGAGATAATGTTTTTTTTTTTTTTTTAGATGATACTTATTTTTACCTTTCCTCTTTCCTTCTGTTGTTATATCATGTATCTTGTCATGTCTTCCGTCTGTGTACTGTCATGTCCCTACCATGCAAAAGTACACCAATAGCATCAGTCCTAGCTTGAGACACGATTTTCCTCTCTGCTTTCCCATATGACCCATCAGGAGCCCTCAGCAGTGATCTATATACCCGCATATGCTCTTCTTAAGGGACGGTGTTTCTGTGCACCTGTGTGCAGATTGTACGTGATTGCACATGCTCCTTTTGTCACATGAAAACAGGCTGTGTGTTTGTGTGTGTGTGTACGCGTGTGCATTTTGGATCCCCTTGTGGCTGCCTCTGCTCTCTGCCCACTAGATAACTGTGCTGAGAAGCAGTGCCAAAAAGCGTCAAATCACAACTGTCATCAGAAAAAAAGAGCTTTTGTAAGAAATCAGGTGAAAATAATGCAGCTGGGAACATGAAATTGTTCTGATACAGACATGTTACCTACATTTACATTTTTGATGTCATTCAAATGTAGATGAATCAGATTTTCTGTAAAAAAAAGAAGAAAAAAAAAAAGAAAAGTCAGGGATGAAAATGAGCACCTGTCTTCAGAACTAACGTTTTTTTTATACCTTCCTCTGTTTTCACACTGAATGTTTAGCGAGGCTTTTGTAATACTGCCTAACTGAATATATTTAGCAGAAAAAGAAGAGTAAAAACAAAATTCCTTAATGTTGTAATGTTGTCATTTTAAGCACCTGACTGGTTTATCTTCAGCACAGTACAGCACGCAGACCTCATCGTGATGTTCTGGTTATAGCCGTGTTTTTGTCTTTTTGCAGAGCACAGAGACAAGTCCTGCCAGCAGCCTTCAGTCTCTACCCATCAGCCCTTGCAGTGAAAAATCTCTTCCGTTTAAGGTAACACGGAGCAGTCTGTTTTATACTAAATTTAGCTATTTGTTCAGTGAGAACGGCTGTATTACAAGCATCAAATTTACAGATGCATTAAAAGTGTGAGGCAATGAAAAATATTAATAAAAATGTCCTCCCAGCTTTATATCTTACAAAAACAGAGCTTATGCTTTCACTTAATACATGCACAGTAAAGTTGTAGTGCTCACTTGTTATTCTTTTTCCATAGCCAACCCTTCACTTCAATTAGCCAGCTAGTTTAATTAAAAGAACACAGCAGGCTCGGTGTGATCAAAAATATAAAACTGAATCTTCCTTTGATCCATGTGTCTCGTTCAGTTTTACCCATATCAGAACAATTAACACTTTTTTTTCACATCAGCTTCTAATGAATCACGAAAAGATCAAATAGGAAGAAAGAGAGCAGAGCAGCAAGGAAGGCAGAGTGAAGGAGAGAGAGAGAAAGAGTTGGAAAAAGGATGATTAAAAGCAAGAGAGTTGCAGATATAGAATGGGAGAGGGGCAACGTGTTTTGATTGTCTTGACAGGCTCCAGATGCCCTCTGTCAACCTTGTCCATCCCAGCCGTGCGATCTGGATGAGATTTATTAATCTCTGTAGGGAGCATGTGCATCATTGCTCAAGTGCATGCTTGTGTGTGAGCGGGATTTAAGTTTGCCATGGGAGGTCTTTTGTCGAGCTTTCCCCCTGGATTTAGTTGGGTCACATCAGAGGTCTTGTTAGCCTGTTGGAGGAGGGAGGCGTAGTAGAGCCATCAGCTCTGTGGTTCTCATCTTTGATGTGTGTGTGTGTTTTTTTTTAACTGCAACATAATGAAGTTCCCTTTACATACATGAATGTACACACTGGTAAAGGTCTTTTAAAATACAGTCAAGTGATACTTACCCACAAAATACTGACACACTGCCAACAAATACTGCGTTTGGTTGTCACTAAGTGCACCTGTATGTGTGCACCACTTAATCTTAGGGCTGTATATAGACTTTGTGTTTGTATAGTTGTCACAGCGTGTTAGTGTTTCACAAAGAGTGGATGTTTGTGTGAGTGTATGCCCTCTTTATTGACCTACATGCTGTATCAGTGGCAGCTGGACGATAAGGAAAAATTAAAAATGTAGGATGGGACACAGCATGCTGACAGCAGCTCTGGCTGAAAAGTACAGATGGACAGACAGGGAACATGGACCCATTGAAAAGAAGGGATCAAATGGGGTAGAAAAGAGTAGGAAATGGTTTCAGTAAACTATCCAAAACAGACTTGGAGACAGGCAATTGACTATAATCAAAAGATTATTTGACTGGACAGGGGAAACCTGAAATTTCTTTTTGGGGGTAATTTTATCTGATGTGACAGTGGATGTTGAGGAGGCAGAGAAGAAGTAAGAGGAAAGATATGGTATGACATGTCACAAATGTCACTGGATTGAATTGAACCGTGGACATTTAGATTATGTGACATGTACTTTAACCATCTGGCTTAGGCTTTCAATCCTAAAAGCTGTAATTTCCTGTCTGTGGAAAAAGGTTGGAGTGCTACTATGTACAGATCAATCAGAGTACTGTAGATTTGTGTTAGAATGTCTACGTTTGATTTTATCTCGACTTTGGAAGTGTGTATCGTGCCTCAGTTAAAAACAGAACATTTCCAGTTAATCCCAGTTTTTCATCAAGAGGAATGGATATTTACACTTTTTTGGACCATTCTCTGCAAAACCAAGAGATGGTTGTGTGGGAAGATCCCATTGGATCGGTAATAGACCAACAACTATAGCACATTCAAAGCCCCTTAAATCACCTTTCTTCCCCATTGTGATGCTGGGTTTGAAGTCCAGCATCTCTACATCCCTAAATGCACTAAGTTGCTGGCAGGTAATCGGCTGATTAGATAAGTGCATTTATGAGCAGTTGAACAGGTGTACTTAATGAAGTGGCCATGAGCGTGTGTGTATAGATTGGGAGAGAACCAAAGAGAGAGATGAAACACTCATTCAGCAGATCTTCTGTGCTTGTCATCAGATGAGGAGAGTTTTCTTAAAGGAGGAAAGGGTCACGATCGATAGAGATAAAAACAAATCAGGGAGAAAGCAGCAAGAATTGCAGGAAATGAGTTTAACTTGAAGATGGGACAGAGGTAGATGATTGAGAGAAGTGTATATATAGGAGAGAGGTAGGTGGTAAAGGCTGAGCTTTTCACAGAGCTAGATGAATTGAAAACAACATAAATACAGAGAGGGTATATCGCCTGAGTAGAAGCTTCATATGAGGAAAAAGTTTCAATGTTGAGAAAAGGAAATTGTATTTCTTACTTTGGGACAGACTGAAGAAAAGAGATGAGGGAGAAAAGCTGCTGGGAAAAGTGTGGGAGCTATAGCTGAAGTGTAGCCATTCAAGAGCAAAGCATTCGGTTTGATGACATTAACTTGATAAGGAAAAGGGGAGGAAATAAACACCGGAGTGCAAGAGGTGGAGGCGAGACCAAGCGATGAACGAGAGATAGAGAAGAAGCCGGTGTTTGAGAAATACTGCGTGAAGATGGAAGAAGAACAAGAGGGAGGGCTGAGAAGAAGAGAATTTGCCCTGGCACTCTAGAAAACGACTCGGCATGTGTAAAAATAATCTACGGTATCCACCTGAGAGGCTGCAGTGTCACAGTGCGACCTAGTTTAATTTAGACCCAATGCATATGACATGATTTTTACCAGATTTTGTCCCAGTTAAAGTATTCTACTGTATCTTAGAAGAAAGTAGCAGAAAAAAGAAATCACGCTAGAGTTGCCGCTAGAGGTGTACTCCACCAGTGTGTTCATTAAAGAAAAAAATGTCAAGGGCAGCAAGTTTTGCACCTGATGAAATGTTGTTTTGTGTACACTCACCTTTGCTTCAGCAGCACGGTGAACTTCTTTTTATAGTGGAACACTTATCATCATGTCAGAGGCAGCGTAATTAGAAATTAATAATGCATAATTCTGATGACTGTGAATTTATAATTACCGACTTTTCCCCACAGTGATGCCCTAATCACTGCGAGAGGGTTAAAAGGATGCATGCTTTGAGGAAAGCACGGAGATATGCGGCTATGTGCGTTATACACACCTTTCTGACACAGACAACACGCAGCTATATCGAGATGCACAAAATGTCATTTCTTTAAGCCGCAGCACAGAACAGACTGCCACTCTCATCTCCCCGTTTCATCCTTTGTCTCGTTTTTGAATCTCTCTTTCCAGATAACCGTTTATCTCTGTTACACTGCGTGAGAAACTTCGCGTTTAGTAATTGTTGTGAGGCTCAGGCATCAAATTCCACTTTTTTTTCTTCTTCAAATTTTGCTCCTCTGCATCAGTGGTCCTGTGATATGAGTTTTCGGGTTAAAATCAAAACCGTTAATAGTGAAATTGTAACTCGCCTTTTTACATCTCAAATTATTCATTACGTTTTAGCTCAGTGCGGGGTGCTGTCAGAAAAAAAAATACAAATTAGACCATTCTACTGTGTGCTATGATAAAGCCTGAAAAGTTTGCCACCCTGCCCCCGGGCTACCTTAGAACTAGACAGCTGTGTTTCTGATTCCACGACACCTGCTGATAGGAGGAAACCATGGCTCATTATTTGTGATTTGCTAATAGGGTCAGAGAGCGAGAAGTGATATTTTAGAGACAGCTTTAAACCTCGGAAGTACAGATACTGTATATATTATATTATTTCTATCACCACAGCACTCAACTTTTGGACTGCACAGGAAAACATTTTAATGATTTGAAAATTTCCCTACAAGCCAAATGTTTTCTTTCAGTTTTAATGGATGTGGAGTTCTTACTTTACACAGATATGAACTCACTGGATGCTTTATTAGCCAAACCTTGCTAGTACAGCGTTGGACCCCCTTTTGTCCTCAAAACTGACTTAATGATTTGTGGCACTGATTCAACAAGGTGCTCGAAACATTGCACAGAGATTCTGGTGCATATTGACACAATAGCATCAAACAGTTGCTTCATCCATGATGTGAATCTCCCCTTCTGGTACTCTGTTGGACTGACATCACAGTCATGTTCAAGACACCAGTTTGAGATGATCTGAGCTTTGAGACATGCTTAGCTATCGGGCTGGAATAAGCCATCGATACTGGGGAACAGTGTGATTGTAAAGGGGAGGATATGATCAGCAACAGTTCTCAGGTAGACTGGGACATTTAAACAGTCCTTGCTTGTTACTAAGAGGCCTAAAGTGTGCCAAGACAGTATCCCCTACACCATTACACCACCACAAGCCTGAACCGTTCATACAGGCAAGATGGATCCATCCTTTTCCATGTTGTTTTCTGCCAAATTCTGAGCCTACCATCTGAAAGTTGAAATAGAACTTGAGACTCATCAGACCAGGCAACATATTTCAAATCCTCTGTGGGCAGTTTTTGTGAGTCCGTGTAAATTAAAGCCTCAGTTTTCTATTCTTAGCTGACAGGAGGGACACATGGTGTAGTCTTCTACTGCTGTAGCCCATCTGCTACAAGACTCAACATGATGTGCGTTTAGAGATGCTTTTCATACCTTGGTTTTAACAAGTCGTTAGTTTAGTCGCCTTCCTATTAGTGTGAAGCAGTTTGGCCAGTCTTCCTGCCGTATGGCATCAAAATGGCTTTTTACCCCAGAGAAAAGCTTCTTGCTGGATGGTCTTTTTTGGGCTATTCTCTGTAAACCCTAGAGATGATCGTGTGGGGAAAATTCTCAGTGGAACAGCCGTTTCTGAATTACTTAGACCAGTCCATGCAAAATTCAAAGTTAAATCACCTTTCTTCTCTATTCTGATTGGTTCAGCTTGGTTTGAATATCAGCAGGTTGTCTTGATCATGTCCCCAAGCCTAAGTGCATTAAGTTTCTACCACGTGTTTGGCTTGTTAAAGACAGCATGAACATGCAGTCGATCCGGTGTAGTGAGTATATTTACAACCCCTGAACCATGTACCGGTACTGGTCCATGAGTCATT